AGAGCCGACTGAGGGCTCGACGGGGAGAGATGAGTAGAAGTCCACTCATATGTTGGTGTACATCTGGCTCCTCAACTCATTGATCCAGTCGATCGCCGCCACAGTGGATGGCATTGAGAAGGTGAAGGACGTCTGGGAGAAGTTGAGGAGGACCTATGATGGAGTGGGGAATAACCTGAGGGTGTTCCAGATAAAGGGAGAGATCGACGCCACAGTCCAGGGAGAGAGGACCATACAGGAGTATGCCACAAAACTGGAGTACCTGTGGCTAGATTATAATCACTTTTCACCTCGGACGAGCTGCAAGGACCTGGAGTGTAAAGAGCGGGAGGCCTTTCTACAGGAAAGGACTATGGTGTTTCTCAAGGGGCTGACATTAGAGTTTGCTCATAGGTTGCATTGCTGTTAGCTCAGCCGAAGATTCCCATACTTGAGGATGCAGTCTTGGCCATGATCCAAGAAGAGACTCGTATTAGGCTGCAGGCTAGGACAGGCGGACTTCCTATGGTGAAGTCAGCACTAGCGGCCTCTAGCAACACTGGATCCAAGGGGGAGACCCGACAGTGCTACAACTACGGTGAAGTGAGATTCGGGTGGACGTGGACAGTTCGGAGGCCGTGGTGGTGGCCGTGAGGGTCGACGAGGTGGAAGAGGAGCAGTCAACCGAGCGAATCTAATGGTAGCAGAAGGAGAGGAAGCGGCTGAGGTGGTCTTTACTGAGGAGGATCATGCGTTCCTGGAGATACTCAGGAGGAAGCAGAAAGTAGCAGGGGATGGAGACAGGAGGAGTGAGACTGAGGAGGCATCCACTTCGTTCTTTACTAGAGGCAACATTGCTACTTATGCTCATCCGACCAAAGGTACTGATGATATACATGCTCTTGTTTCTATGACTCCCAATAGATCATCAGAATGGATAGTCAACTCCGGTGCGTCCCGACATGTGACAGGTAATGCTATTGAGTTCTCATCATATACTCACTTAGCATCGGCTGATAGTATCCAAACAGCTGATGGAACATGTCAGCCAGTGATTGGTAAGGGTACAGTCAATTGTACAGGTTCTGTAACTTTGTCCAATATTTTGCATGCTCCTTCCTTTCCAGTTAATCTTTTGTCCATTAGTGCTATCATACTCCAACTAAAATGCATTGTTTCTTTTAACATTCCCAATGTGATCTTCCAGGAAAAGGGGACAGGACGGAGACTTGGGACTGACACATGGCGTAGTGGATTGTGGTACCTGGATCGGGAAGGACTGGATTCAGCATTAATGTCAATAGTAGAGAGAGCAGGAGTAGAATCTGAGATGAGTGCTGAGAGTGTGTTGATGCTTCATCACCAGCGTTTGGGATACTCATCCTTTAGTATTTTAAGTAGGTTGTATCCATCTTTATTTGAGAAAGCAAATAAACCGAAACTTGTATGCGATGCTTGTGAGTTTGGAAAGCTTACTAGAAGCTCTTATGTTAGTTCTGGTCATAGGAGCTCTCATGCATTTGACCTGATACATTCAGATGTTTGGGGGCCTTGTTCCACAAGTTCTATAAACGGATACAAGTATTTTGTTACCTTTATTGATTGTTTCTCTCGTGTTACTTGGTTATACCTGATGAAAAATAAGAGTGAAGTGTTTGGTTTCTTCCAAAACTTTCATAGATATGTTCAGACTCAATACGGAGCGATGGTAAAGGTATTGAGGTCTGATAATGGGACAGAGTATATCAACAGAGCGCTTGGGGAATACTTATCAGCTCAGAGAATACAGCACCAGACGACATGTCCATACACACCGGCTCAGAATGGGATAGCGGAGAGGAAGAACAAACATCTTTTAGAGGTTGCTAGAGGCATGATGATCTCCATGAATGTCCCAGAAACATTGTGGGGGCAAGCAGTATTGATCGCAGCGGCGCTAATCAACAAAATGCCCTCGAAAGTGCTGAATTGGAAGTCTCCGTGTGAGACGTTGAAGGGAGATAATAATGGGCTTCTTCCACTAAAGGTGTTTGGCTGTGTGCTTTGTGAAGGACAACAGACCATCCGTTGGGAAGCTCGCCCGTAGAGCGGTGAAGTGCATCTTTATGGGATATTCTGCTACTCAGAAGGGATATATTTGCTGGAGCCCGGTGGAAAAGAGATTGTTTGTGAGCATGGATGTGCACTTTCGAGAACTCGAGCCATATTACACTCGAAAGGTAACCTCATCCGTTGGTGACTCGCGCGATACTGGTAGTATGAGGCGAGAGGGGGAGAATGGTGAGAGGCAGGTGAAGAATATAGAGAATAATGTGGAGAAATCGATTTCTCTATCTATTCCTTGGGAGGGAGAATTCGCTGAGGAGGAGCAGGAAAATGAAGAAGAAAAGGAGAAGGAGACAAGAGGTGTTAGGCCCACGGTTCAGGGGGTGCTACTTACCTATAGTACGAAAGGAAAGCAAATTGCAGGAACAGTACCTACAGTACCACTTGTGCCAAGTCCCTTGTCTCCGCCTGCCCCGACTCCTGAGACACCTACACCACTACCAGATTCCTCCCAATATGATAATATTCCTCTCACTACTCCTCCCACACCAATGTCAGTACGGAGGACTACTCGCAGTAATGCGAGAAATCCTCCCGATAGATATGGTTAGGATCTTGCACAATTTGTATTATATTCTAACATCCACCCTGCACATGGAGCATTCATTGCATCATTGGATTATGTTACTGTACCTAACAATTGGCAGGTTACTATGAAGGACCCAAAGTGGAAAGCGGCTATGCACGAAGAGCTAGGCGTTCTTGAAAAGAACCACACTTGGGAGTTAGCAAAACTACCAAAAGGAAAGAGAGCAGTTGGATGCAAGTGGATCTTCACTGTGAAGCAGAATCCAGATGGACAGGTTGAGCGCTATAAGGCTCGTCTTGTGGCAAAAGGGTATAGTCAGACATATGGCATCGACTATGATGAGACTTTTGCACCGGTGATGAAGATGAGCACTGTTCGGATCTTGATCTCTCTGGCAGTAAATGATGGATGGAAGCTACACCAACTAGATGTGAAAAATGCATTTCTTCATGGAGATCTGATGGAAGAAGTATACATGGAGATACCACCTGGATTCGACACAGATCAGACAGTGGGCAATGTCTGCAGATTGAAGAAGTCTCTCTATGGGCTGAAACAGTCTCCCCGTGCTTGGTTCGACAGATTCAGAAGGGCTATGGTAAATATGTGGTACCAACAGATTAACGCCGATCATATTGTATTCTTTCGACGGAATGGAGGCCACATTACCATGCTTGCGGTATATGTGGATGATATGATTATTACAGGGGATGATGAGAAGGAGATTGTCCCTCAAAGTGAGACTGGGTAAGGAATTCGAGGTGAAAGATCTTGGCTTGCTTCGATACTTTCTTGGAATAGAGATAGCTCGAGGAGCGGAGGGGATTGTCCTATCTCAGAAGAAGTATGCGCTGGATCTTCTCAAGGAGACAGGGATGTTAGGGTGCAAACCTGTAACTACACCAATCGACCAGAAGTTCAAGCTGGGTGTTGAGGCTGGAGAACCAGTTGATCGTGATAGATACTAGAGATTGGTGAGCAGATTGATCTATCTGAGTCACACACGTCCTGATATCTCTTTTGCAGTGAGCGTGGTGAGTCGCTACATGCATGATCCAAGGAAGGATCATATGGACGCAGTGTACCAGATTCTGAGGTATTTGAATAATGCCCCCGGAAAAGCGCTAATATTCAGGAAGAATGAACATATGAGCATTGAGGGTTACTGTGACTCCGAATGGGCTAGCTATGCTGATGATAGGAGGTCCACCTCAGGATATTGTATCTTTATAGGAGGTAACTTGGTCTCGTGGAAGAGCAAGAAGCAGTCAGTGATGGTGAGATCAACAGCTGAAGCAGAGTATAGAGCTATGGCCTTAGGAGTTGCAGAGTTGTTGTGGTTAAAGAGTATGCTGGTGGAGCTGAAGCTGGATCAAGGAGCAAAGATGAAGCTGTGGTGTGATAACAAGTCAGCCATCAGTATCGCCAATAACCCAGTGCAGCATGATAGAACCAAACACATTGAGATCGATAGGTTCTTCATCAAAGAGAAGTTGGACAGTGGACTACTGGAGCTAAGTCATGTTTCAACTAAGGATCAGACAGCAGATTGTCTGACTAAGGGACTTAGCTCAGTAGATATGATTAGAGGATGTGACAAGATGGGCTTAGTGGATATATTTCGTCCATCTTGAGGAGGAGTGTTGACATATTAATATAGTTAGAGAGTTAGTTGTAAGATGTGTGTGTAGGGGCATATATAAGCCCATGTTATCTCATATATGAAATTTGGGTTTCAATTGGGGATGGGGGTCAAGTGGTGGGAGGCGAAGGACTCGAGATCTGCAGTTCGTTTTGAAAAGGAAACTAAATGCACGGACTGCTAGTTCCGTGCAGTTCGCAAAAACACTTCGGCAGCAAAACCGACCCTTCTCAGATCTGAAAAAGGGTCGGTTTTGCTGTTTTTTTAGTGGTCGATTTTGCTATATAAATTTCAAAAATGGGTGTTTTCAAAAATTTGTCCTTTTATTAATTAGAGAAATACCTAGTAAGAGTGAAGAATGTCTACTGCAATTTGAAGCATTGCTTATCCAAATGGAATTTAGCTCTTTGACTTCTATTATTGCCTGAAGATGAATACAGCTCCTAGGGTACTTGAAATGCTAATTCTATAACTGCATGACCTTAAATAATGGTGGCGATTCTGACAAGGTAAGTTCACATGAATGAATCAACTCAACGAGCATGCACTTGGTTTTCTTTTCCCCTCTGTTTTCTTTTCTTGAACAAACATTCTATATTTGCATGAAACTAGTTTCTCATCTCGGCAGTTATGTTCTCTGTCTGTGGTTGTAACATATTACAGCTGTGCTATTTTTCTCTTCAATGGGTACCTTTTATTGAACTCGTTATGCTGCATTTTGACCCAAGACTTCTCTTATTGCAGATTAGCATGAAAAGAGATGAAAATTCTTGGTCTTCCTTATTTCAGCTGGCTTTTTGTTGCTCATGATCTACTCTCATCTGCTGACATATGTTCATGCTAAATGAGTCACCGGAAGCCACAGCACCACAGCTTTTTTGACCTATGTTGTTGTCTATGAATAGCTCTTTGCCTAACAAATAAATGTTTGGGAGGATAATTCTGAAAATTCTCCGCTATTTATACTATAATTGATGACATTTTGTTCAACTTTATTTTTCGATGTTTCCAAACTTATAACATGATTATGTCCTATTTCCATCCCCTGGTCTCTCTTTGCCGGCACTTGCCTATTTGTTTTTTATCTTTATCAACCTTAGTTTTCCTATAGGCTATCAAATTTCTTGGTTGCTATACCTTCAGTATTAATTTTGGGCTAATAGCACTTAAATACCCTATTGTTTCAACTACTTTTCACTTATATACCCTAACTTGTATTTGGTAGCAAAAAAAAAATATCCTAAATTTTTATATACCCTCACTTTCTTTAGCGTCACTTAAATACCCTAATGTTTTTACCACTAGCACCTACTAATGTTTCTAGAATTAGCACTTAAATACCCCTAAAGTCTTTAAAATGTGCACATAAATACCCTCAGTTATGCAAACTTGAGGGTATTTAGATGCAAATTTTAAAAACTTTAGGGTATTTAATTGTCAGATTTAAAAACTTAATGGTATTTAAGTGTCAGATTTAAAAACTTAATGGCATTTAAGTGCAAATTTTAATAACTTTAGGGTATATATGTGCTATCAAAAATAAGTGAGGGTATATAAGTGCACGTTTAAAAAACTTTAGGATATTTTCTTGCTACGAAATACAAGTGAGGGTATATTAAATGAGAAATAGATGAAACAGTAGGGTATATAATTTATAAATGCTATTTAGGCTTAGTTTTGCTCAATACCTGTCCTTTGGATATCTGTTTTGCACACTAAGACCTCGATCTGACTTGAGCACTGCTCCGACGATAACATGCATATGAAATTTCATTCTTCTTATTTTTACAAGCAAAATAGGAACAACCAAATATTGATCATGCTTTATTGATCCTAAACAATAAGAATAAATTAAGTCACGGATGCATAATTTTATAACATCGATCCGAAGGAAAAAAAAAAGTCTAATGCTACCTAGACCAAAATGAACTCAAACCTCACATAGCTGGAGGATGCATTTACATGAACAAGGGTCTGTACTCTTCCCACTGTGCAGACCTACAATCATCTCTCCAAGCAATCAATCAGCTCATGAGAAGAAGCTGGAAATATCAAACAGATCAAAATCTGTATTCATCTCCGACGATGGCAGCAGAAAATCCATGTCCAGCAGTGGAGAATCGGTCGCCGAAGTCTCTGCGGAGGCTATCTCATTGAAGTCGGAGAAATAATTCGACTCTGAAGTCGTCGGAGAAAAAAACGCAGTAGATGAAGGAGAGATTACATGGCTCTCAGGCTTTGAGCCGTGAAATGTGAAGGAGGATGAACATGCTGGCTCTTGAACTTTGGAGTCCAAGATTTCAGTTTTGACCTTGAGGTTCGTCTGAAAGCTGAGAAGGAGATGTCGGTCGTCGTGTTGATTGAGAAGTGGGAACGAGGACGTTGCGACAGTCGACGGAGATGACTTCCGACTGCAAGTGTGGGTCCCACGGTAAGTGACATTGAAGATGGACGGATTGTCTTCGGATCTCTGCACCTGCTTCATTGCTAGGCAGCCTTGAGTGTTGCGATGGGTGCATCTGTAGTAGCCTCTGCACAAATTTGAAGCAATTACCTCTTGTTAAGCATTGATCAAGTTAAGTAAATTATGCCTGATTTCAGTACGTTAATTAATTTCTCCGTATTTTGTGCAAACCTCGGGTGTTTAGCTCCCAGGATTTCTTTCTGTCCGTACTTCCTCCAGCTATAGCCATCCTCTAATGGCCCTTCTGCCTCTGGCCCTGATCCCAATTTGACCTGACTAGTTGTCCATTTGGATTGCGTTTTCCTGCAAGAACCAAAAAAAAAAAAACACCCGTAAGGAAACTTGGAACTCTGTTTCAATTTGAAGAGTACTAAAAAGGAGCATACCTCTTCTTGGATGTCTCCTTGCGCTGAACTTTGAATGGCAGCTGCTTCGAGTCCTCGCTGGTGAATGACTGAGGAGAGTCAATGAAAGCACTGGTTCTGGCCATGGACATAGTTTTCTCAAGACAAGCGAGTATGTCGTGCACCAAAGACTTGCACAAGTCAGTTGAGGCCGAGCTCAAGTGGGCATCAAGCTTCGTCGCTAGCTCATGGCCGTGGCCCAATTCGTTCACTAGCACGCTCATATCCGCGTCCATTTTCATTGCATTCGATAGTTCAAGTTTTCGGTTGCGTGATTGGGAGAGTGATGGAGATGAGTTAATTTGAGTGAGCAACTGGGGTTGGGCTTTTTAAAGGGAGAAGATGATTGAGGGTCACAAAGAAGGCGCGTAGGAATTTATTAGTATAAAAAGTAGGGAGATGTAGGGTTTAAGATATTAAACTTGACTGAGAAAATGAGAGTTTGACTGGTCAATGGTCAGAAGTATGAAGAGGGTCGAGATGAAGGGCTAGAGATGAGGTTGGTGACCGATTCTGCTCATGTCTTTGTATTGATAAGAAATGTTTTGTCGCTGTGTTTGAGAGTGTAAACAAGTGCCAATTGTGGAAGCGAGGTCAAAGAGGAAGGTGCTGAGAACTGACCAGGAATCTTCAAAACTCACTACGCGTAGAGGGGGAATAGGGAGGTGAGGTCAGCAATTGGCCCTTGGCTTACGTTTTTGATTAGTCATAGATGCTTTGGATTATGAGGGGCAATGTAACAGTAAATCGTTAAATTTTTTTTTTTTGTAACTAATAAATTATTATTTTATATATGGCTCCTTAATCTTCCAACAATTGAAACTGATGACGAGTCCATGAAACCCTCAAGGGTTCTTGCAGTTTGGTACCTCTATTAGCTTTCTGGTTGAACTTGTAACCTCTGATTGGGTAATTAGCTCTTAACCCAACATGCTCAATTATTGAAGTGAAAAATTCCTCATGGACCCAAAATATGGGACCAATAGGTGGGACAAGTGAGGTGTCCCCCTCCTATTGAATAATGAGTTTGATGACCAACTCATTATCCAATAGGAGGGGGACACCTCACTTGTCCCACCTATTGGTCCCATATTTTAGGTCACTGTAGCAAAGCTCTTATTAAAAGAACCAATAATAAAAGTTAACACTTGAGAGAGACAGGGAGATCCTAGAGGTGGTAATCTTACCGGTGTATAGCAAGTGTATCTTCACCCAGGTCTGAACTGAGGACGATATAGGAAAAGGGCTTCTAGACGCGGATTTTAGTGATAGAAGGAAGATTGTCTCTATTACATTTTTCGTAACACTAGGGATCCACAGACCACATTTGAGGGCTCCTGTCTTCATTTGTTTTCTTTTCTTTTTTTTTCCCCTCCTAATTTGATATAAGGTTATAATTAATGAATCAAGGATCAGTAGAAAATATCTAGAACCTGAACCGAAGCAATTAGTATTTTGATCTTCTCTTCTCTTGTTTACCTCGTTATTCTCTGCATTTTGGATTGGCAATAGTCATAATTCAGTTCTTCTAATCTCTCCACAATTTTCCATCTTCTAATTAATTAACATTTTTAATAATGTGAATTCTCTCATCTTGCACACCACAAAGCCTAATAAAAACAAGTTATATTTATCATGGAGTTAAATTGGAGAGTCAGCGAAGCATACTGGAGTGAGTTTATGTTCTTGCCCAGTAGAATCTTTTTTTTTTTTGAATAAAGTAATATAATCTCACACATACCCAGCATTTTTTCCTCGTTTTTAGTTCAGTTAGGGTCCAGGGCTCATATTCTCCAAATAAATAAATAAAATAAAATTAAATAAATAAATAAAAGTAAAAAAAAAATATCACACACCATATAGGATGTTCTGATCTTAAAGATGACAAATAGGGATAATTTTGACATTTCACTGTTCCCTATATTGTTTAAATTCCTCATGGGTGACGTGTTTTGATAGAATTTCTACTCCTCATCAGCATGGCCTTGATTTTTAAGAAGAGAAGACCTACAATCACCTAAAATGCACTAATATCGAATTATAATGGAGCAAGAGGAGTTGTGCCAAATAGGGGTGTCAAAAAATATCCGTATTCGAGGATTTATCCTTACATGTATCCATTAAGATACAAATATGGTTACTAATACTTATAACCGATAGGTTATGGACATGGATATTTAGTAAAAAATCTGGGTCGTATTCGAAAAATCTGACTATATAATGGTCATACAGTTATAATTATTTTAATCCTTAGAGAAATAGATTTGAGGTTGATTTTAATCATCAAGAGATCTAATCCTAGATTTTCGGATATAATGAATAGACTAAAGAACTCTTTTGTACCATATGAACTATATTATTTTCAATGTTGTATGGTTTTCTCATATTCGTTTTGTATGTGCATGTGTTATGGTAATTTACCATTTAAAGATAAAGTTGTCGAAAGATTATCTTCATAGGACCAAAAAAGCTATGGTCCGAACCAACTTAGTGGCCCAGAAGTCCAGCCAAGAGCAAGTCTATTGGCCCGCCGAGGAAACGAATCATCTTTTACTAAAACGAAGTGAAGGATTAGTCGACCCCTCATAAGTCGAGACGGCTCCCTAAATAGTCGGCTCGACCACCTTCTCGGCAGTTTACTCGACCAGAAGCTCACTCGACTGACTTGTCGACAAATCATATGGACGACCCACAAATCGATCCGTCTTTACTAAGAGGATAAGATCCAGCTAAGTCACCTTCAGATATACATCAATCAACACCATAGTTTATTAAGCGATCTTATCAAGATCTCAACTCTAACAAACATCGTGCGAAAACAGCTCACTCTGCCCACAAGTCACTTCCCAGAGATCACTAAAATACTCTCTTGTGCTCGAATGACTTCCCCTCCAGTCGTCAGCCGCCATCTGAAAAGGGAAGGAGGCCTAAACAATCGGCTTATCCTCCGTCCCGTCTCATCTATCGAATCTGGGATGTTTCCAAGGCATCCTCCTATGCTCGAATGACTTCCCCTCCAGTCGCCAGCCGCCATCTGGAAAGGAAAGGAGGCGCAAACAATCGGTCTATCTTCCCCGCCAGTCGCCAGCTGACATCTATAAAGTGAAGAATGGCTCAACAGCCTGTCTACTCACCCCGCAACCGCCCTCCTATACATAGTTAAAACCAAAGGTCAATCTCAAAGGCGACAGACTATAAAAGGAGGTAAGGAGGCTTGAAATCTTTTAAGATTTCTGAACTCTTTTTCGGCAAAAACTCTAAACAATTCTAAAAGCTATGCCTTCTTTTAAAAACTCAATAAGAGTAATGAGGACCAGCACCTCAATGATCCTCGGATCTTCCCTCAAACCCCATTCAAGATCACCGGCTGACTTGACCGTCGGAGGTACTACGGGGGAACCGGTCCCCGCCCTCTTACGAGTTCCTTCTTGTTTGTGCAGAAGGATCAGGAATTTCAATCTAAGGATCGGGCATAAAGTCGGAGGAGTTGGCCCCACCTCTCATCGTCCCCCTCTTCGCCGTTAGTGCGAAGATCGGAACTGCATCCCTCGGCAAAAAGACCCCATCGGCTATTTGATATCAGACAACAGTTTGTCACCCACCATGGGGCCCACTCTCTTCTCTGAGAAAAAATGCTCAATTGTAAGCAGGGGCCTAATCCTATTCATTCTTGAAGAATATCATTGGAATCACATTATTCAAGCTAAACAAAGCCTGGAATCACATCATTCAAGCTAAGGAGGATCAGCCTATGGCTATGAGGAGCAAACATAGGCATAGCCCTCGAGGGCTCCAACAGCTTTTTGGGGAGTATTTGCCAAGCAGAACCCCGAAAGCCCTCCTGGAGAAGACACACCTCTACGCCTCGTTTGGTATGCGAAAATGGACATAAGTGAGAATGGAATGGAAGAAGGGATGGAATGGATTGTATGTGAGAATGGAATGGTCATTCCCATTCTCATGTTTGGGTACTTTTGTAGAATGAGGCTAGAATGAAAATCTCGTTCTCATTCTCATGTTTGGTATCACTTGTCCACAAAGTGAGAATGGAATCGCATTTTCTAATAATGTCCTTACAACAACATATATTTTTAATAAGATAAAAATAAACATTAATGATAATAACTAAACAATTTTATTTATGCATATGTTATACTAATTTCTGTGCATGTTATACTATTGCGCATGTTATCTCTCAAGTGTATGTTCTATTTATATTTTTTAAACAATACTCACTATTTCTTAGTCTTAAAAAATTAAAGAAAAATAAATAAAAGATTATCGCATCTTTCATAGGTCCAAAAAAAATATAAAGAATGATATCCACAATTGATGCATATTGCATATGAAAAGGATGTCAGAATTACTAATGTGGAAATCAGTTGATTAATAGGGGTATAATTAAAAAATAAATAACTGATTTGATTCTCTCTTGAATGGGAATGACCATTCCCTATCTTCTCACTTGGAATGCCCATTCCCACAAAAAGTGAGAATGGTCATTCCCTGGGAATGGTCATTCCAACATCTAAAAAGTTGATTTGTTTGGTATGAAGGAATGAGAAGTGAGAATGCCATTCCATTCCACCCCATTCCCACCTACCAAACGAGGCCCTATAGTGTTTGCCTGGTTTGAGAATGAAACGCAGGCTTCTTATCGCTGCCACAGATAAAAACCCTACCGTTTGGACAGCCAAGAAGCCTGGGGTTGGATCGCAAAACAGAACTCTACCTTCAACAAGGGTTATGATCAGATCCAGTATCGCTTAAGTTCCTGTCGATGACAGCTCACACGAGCAAGGAGCAGCGATTAAGTCTGTGGCAGGCTCCTCGGACCATCCCCACCTTCAAAGGAGAGTCCTTCCTCACCAAGAATGAGATTGCGGAAAAAACTCGGAGGGCCACCTGATGATTGCCTCCTTAGGAAATTCGGCTCTGGTCCCCAACAGTTGTTCGAACCACCAAAGTCGAAGGAAGAACTGGTGGTTGAAGCATACGACTCATACTCTCCCTACAAAAGAAGGCTCCTCCATTTACAGGATGGTCCAGTCGTTGCTATCCATGGAATCCCCAAGGGGGATCCATGATTTTGTTAAATTCCAGGGAGCAAAACATCGGCATCCGGGGTTTCACCAACAAGAAGCCATCCATCACAAAAGTTATCTAGGCCTCGTCCTGTCAAGCACCATCCTCCAAAAAGCTCAATCAACAGGACGCTGGCCATGCAGGGCAACCAATAGTGGTAAAGCAAGATCTGTTAAAAATCACCACA